CAGGGCGGTGGAGGAGGTGGCGCAGGGCTGTGTGCCGGTGTCGGGGTCCCCCAAACCCCGCGAGCCCCCGGTACCTGGTGTCCTGCGACGGGCGTCTGGTGGGGCTGAGACCCCGGGGGGGTTGAGGGCGAGGCGGGACCCGCTGCCCCCCGGTCTGGGCGTGCAGAAATGAGCACGGGCGAGGGTGGCGATGGGATGGCGGTGGCCCCCCTTTCCCCGCGCACACGATTCTTATTCAAATGGGCTGCCCGCTGAAAGGGACCGGCGGTCTCCAGGCTACGGGAATGTCACTGCCGATTCCTTCTGCCTGGAGGCCCCCGCTGCCCGTGGGTGGGTGGGGGACCCAGCCCGGCCCTGCCAAGGGACCCTGCCGCCCCTTCCTTGTGTGCTGCCTGACGGTGCCCGGCCTGTGCCCCAGGGCTGTGCCTTGTGCCAACGGCTGTGCCGTGCCCAGGGCCGTGTCGTCCCAGGGCTCCCTGCCGGCATGCCGGCTCCTACCTGTGCCCGTGGTGGGGCCCGGCGTGCCAGGCAGGTGGTGGCGGTGGCCCGGGTGGGCTGCGAAGTCGGCCAGGTCGGCCCCGCTTGGCTCGGGCTTGACTCTGTTCCTGGAGGAGGGCGGCCGGCGCCTGTCTCCTCCTCCGGCAGCCGTGCCAGGCGAGGGGAGGGACCTGCCCGCACCGAGACTTAGCCAAGGTGAGGCAGAGGCCAGGTACAAGCTGGCGGTGGCCTGCTTGTGGCACAGCAGTGCCCTGTGCCCAGACTGGTGGGGAGCTGGCACGTGCGGCACGTGGGGCTGCCGAGACAGGCAGCCCGGTCGGGACTCGCCCTGCACTGCGTGGGCTCGTCTGTGCCTATTAGGGGCACGTCTCCAGCAGCGGTACTGGGAGCCCCAGGGTGGCATGGCAACCAGCCATGCTCCCCGGCAACCGTACCAGATGGATCCTGCTCCCCTTCCGCCCTGCCACCCTGGGCACCACCGTGCCCTGAGCCAGGGCCCCACTCACCCTGTGCTGGTCAGTGCTGCCTGGGATCCTCTGGACCGACCTCGCTGTCACGCAGGGATGGTGGCTTTTATTAGCTGAGGCCGAAGGAAGGAAGAGGAACCGTGTGCTCCCCACACCAAGGCTGAGCTCTGGCCGCCCGCCGGCCAGCAAGGTCACAGGACCCACCCGGGCCATGTAGGTGCCAAAACTCGTGGCCACAGGGACACCCCCCCACAGTGCAGGCTGGTCCCGTGTGTCTCGGTGGAGCGAGGGATGCTGTAGGCAGAGCCCTGCCCGCTCCCCATGGCCGAGCTCTCAGCAGGCACTGGGAAACCTGGAGGAAGGGCAAGGCTGTGCCCAGCAAGGCTCTGGCAGCACAGGGTGGTGGTGGCCTGGCACCACCAGCTCCTGGGCTAGGAGATCTGGCAGGAGATGAGCTGATAAAGAGCCATTAGCACTGGCCAGTGTGTCCGTGTCGCAGGGATCTTGCCAAGCAAAGCTTATCTGCTCTGAGGAGATCCAAAGCGGTCTGATAAAGGTGACTGTAACAGGATCTCAGGCCTCGAAAAGCAAGGCAGAAGCGGGAAGGAGGGATTCTCAATGGGATCTGAGGGACAAGCGAGGTGTCCCAGCCCAAGCCCAGGCACATCCTGGCTCCCCTGAAGGTTGCTCTGACCTCCCACCCCCACTGCAATCCCCACAGCCTCCCCACAGCCAAACGCATGGGGGTGGATTGTGTCTGCCCGGGGAGGTGACACGGCCAGGCACGGCTCTGCTGGCCAGAGACCCACCAACAGCTCTGCCACAGCCCTGTCACCAGCTGAGCATCCCCTGCTCCCGGGGCACCCTCGGCCTCGGCTCCACCAGCGATTTCACTGACACCAGCAAACCAGCCAGCTCGGAGGGGCAGCAGTGGGAACCGGCAGCGCTGGCTGCACCAGAGCACACAGAGGAGGGGCCCCCCCAAACCTCAGCAGAGCCCCCGAGCTCCTGGGGCAGGCTCTCACGCCTGGCCAGCCCCGCTTGGACCCACTTCAGTGGGCTCAGCGGGCGGCCAACGCTTCCCTGAACATCCTCAGCCAGCGGGAGAACCGCTTAACCCTTCCCGAGGAACGAGCTCCGGCACCGGAGCCGCTGTCTGAGGGGGGTCACGGTCCCACCGCCGTTAGTGCCGGGTCAGCGCACCCACGGCCCCGCGGCACAAACCGGATCCGATCGCTCACGGGCAAACAATGGCATCTGTGTTGGGTTAGCCGGCCACGGGGTCCCTGTGCAGACGGGGCAGATCCAGTGGGAAGGCGATGGGCAGGCAGGAGCTGGCACAGCGCCCACCGGCGAAGCGGCACGTTTCTAGGAACTAACCTGGAATGTGGATTTATGCCATTTCCCACCAGTTCTGCACCAGCAGCACTCGTCTGGAGCATTTTCCCATCCTTAATAGGGCCCAGGTAATCCCATCCTTGGGGGAACTGGGGAGAAGAGGTGGTGGTGGTGGTTCCAGCTGAGCGTGCCCCAGGCAGCGGCCTGGCACACAGGAGACAATATTCCATGGAGCTCACGCGGGGCCTGGAGCCGGAGCCCAGGGAGGAGCAGTCTGGCGGGGCCCAAAGAAAAGCTGGACACACTAGGTGGTTCTGAGCACCATTTTACTGAAGGGCTGGACACCTGCTAGGACTTCATAACAAAAAGTTCACTTCATTTTAAGAAAAAAGACAGCCTGGTTTTTTGTCCCATTCCCTCTGAAGAGCGGAATAACAGTAACACTGTCTTTTCACTAAACAATGCCATTCCAAAATATACAACACTGAGTGTGGAGCAGCCCAGCCTCGTATTAAACATTAAATATTAATATAGCTTCGGAAACATTCTACACAAACAAATGAAACAGTAAAAAGTTCACTCAAGAACAAGATGGTCAGTTGTTGTAAATTCACCATACAAAAGTTTGTTACTCGCCCTCCCGCGGGCTGCAGCTGCTGCTCCCCGGCCGTGGTTTGGGATCCCCCAACACCGGGATGCCCGTGGCTGAACCGGTGGCACCGGTCCCAGCCGGAGCAGGTCGGTGGCTCTCTTAGAGACAACGGTTGGCAGAGACAAGCTCGAGGGGCCGGGCAGTGCCCACCCAAAGTCCCTCTGAGTCTCTACTTGGGAAATGCTACTCCTCAGGAGCGCTGCAGAGGGAAGCAGGAGGAAGGAACGGCGTCACACACCGAGCCTCCCCCACCGACACTTGTTTTGTCCCCTCCCAAGCTAGGGCAGAGTGACAGAGCAGGGGAAGGAGGGGAGGTATTTCTGGGAGTAGCTTTGCAGCACCTCTTTGACAACAGCACCGTGTGCCTGACTGCGTCTGTGGGAATCACCAGACTCTCACAGGGGCTGCCTGGAGCAACAGGAACGGAAAGGGCTAATTAAGACAACAAGGAGAGTCCCAGACGATAATAAGGCCTTTAAGGGACTCTCAGGGACAAGGCCTAATTGTCCCTGTCGGGGAAGGTATTTTGGATGCTCACCAGAGGAACTGCTACCCTTCCTGCGAGGGTCTCCAGGGGGTAAAAGTCAGCACACACAGGGCTGGGGGGCTCTGCAAGCCAGGGAGCAGCTTACTTTCCCCATGGCCACCGGAGCAGGGCTAGGGTGTGCGACTGATGAAGGATGGAAACCAAGGGTTAGGAGGGGCACCTGCTCCAAAAGGGCACCCTCTCACCAGTCCCCGGAGCCTGTAGCACCAGTGCCTGTGCAGTGCTGCCAGATTGGGCAGAGCAGGCTCCGTGGGCTGGGCAGGGACAATGGAGACAGTGCTACGGGACGCCACAGACCTGGCTCCTCTCTTTGCAGGTCTCAGAAGCAGAAGCTGGCCGGCCAGGCGCTGCTGACGTCTTTGGTTTCTCCTAATCCCAGCTTCTTGCTTTTTCACCAGACCTCCTCAGTCTTCCTAAGCAAACGGAGGGGTCTGGCCTCAGCACCATGGCTTTGGGGGCGGCAGCCAGCCAAGCTGTGAGTGCTAGCACAGTCACACCTACAAACAGGGGTCACTCGACACTCGGGGCTGATCCAGTGACAGGGGCTGGCTCTCCTGCCTTCTGGGACAAAACGCTCCACCAGCCAATGAGGCACCTGGCACCCTCCTAACAGCACCTACCTCCAGGCAGGAGCGGGTTGTGAGGAGAAGGAAAGCCAAGCATGGTGCTCTCTAGCACACAGACCCCAACATGAGGGCCTGGGAGCAACCTGCCCTGCTGCCCTCCCCATGGATGGTGCCAGCCCACCCAGCTCACAAAGCCAAGGGCTGTGGCACAGTTGAGAAGGTGAGGGGTGCCTCAGTAATAGCTGTCCTCTCCTCAGGCCACCTCAGCTCCTGGAAAGCCATCCCGATCTGACCACTCTGAAGACTGAAACAGAAACTGTCACTTACACACAAACCAACCAACCTGCTTGAGGGGCAGGTGCTGTACACAGCTCAGCACCAACCCTGCCAACCATGGCCAAAACAAGGATCCTCTCACCTAAACCCTTCCCTCCTGCCTGGGAAAACTGCCCAGCTCATGCCACACTGTCCAGCTGCAGCTGAGAGACAAACCTGCTCTCTGTCCCCACATGTCCCTTGTGCCGTGGCAAAATGCCCAGCTCCCAAACAGGGCAAGGAACCCGGACCCAATGGGGAGAGCAGCTGGAGTGGCTGCACCCCCTGCACGCTGGCACGGTCTGGCCGTGAACATAGCACAAGTCACAACTGAAAGGGCCCAAGTTCTGTGCTCAAGCCCAAAACACAAAGTCCCCGAGCCTCTCCTGCCACAGCTGGAGCCGGGGGACTTCCACCAGCTCCACCAGTGGAGAAGTGCGAGGGTGGACACGTGGCAGAAGAGGGGCAGCTGCAGAGCAGAGCCACAGAGCAGCATCACCCACCCGTCCCGTTCTGCTCCCAACTTCCCTGGCGACTGGCTGAACTCTGTGCAAGGAAACACCAGGCAGCGAGGGGTCTCAGCCCACCGTCCCTGTCCCTGTCAGCGCTGCGGGCTGGGCGGGTGGTGCCCTGGTCTGAGAAACATTCAGCTACATGAGTGCTCGCAACGCCCCACAGAGCACACCTCCTCCCCAGGCTGAAACACCACTAGTGGGCTACAGAACAGAAGTAACAAAATAATCCCTTCTTATTTTGCAGAAAAGTGCTTAAAAAATTCTGTACGTGGATCGCTATGGCAGCTGGCTCTGCGGGGGAGAGGCAAACAGTTTGGAAGAAGGGGCACCGCACTACATGGCTTGCAGGGTAGAGGCCAAGGAGAAGCTTCTCCAACTGAAAGCAGTGGCAGAAGGTGAAATCCGATCAGAGTAGACATGAGCTTCAAAACATTTCTGCCAATTAACAATGTGATTTCAACTGGTATCTGATGTCAGCTTCCCCTTCAGCTGCCTGCCGGACAAGCTGCTCTCCCCATGGACCTTGCTGACGGACATCTGAAGCATGCAGGAAGCTCAAGGACCTTGTCTGGTGGAGGCGAAGCATAAACTCTGGCTTCTTGGCAACTGAATAAAAGAAGAAATGATTTCCACAAACTCAGTTGGAAATACAGCCCTTTGACCGCTGGCTGAATCGTTTCTCAAAGTGACAGTGGCACAAATCCATGCGGTAAAAGCATTCCTAAGAGAGTCTCCAAAGCTCTCGGCTGTCACAGTGCCCAGAACAGCATAGCCCAGGTTAGGCACTTGGATGAATTCAAAGTGAATACAGAAACAGGTCTGAACAACCTGCACACAGCCCACTCAGCAGAGACCACAGGACTCCAGGCAAGGCACTTCTGTGTGCCCTGCCTGTTACTGCTGCACAGGTCCCTGGAATCTGGGTGTCACTCTGCTGTCACAGACTAACACGGGGTGGAAGGGACCTCTGGAGGGAGGTCTCTGGTTAGAACAGGTCTTAGGCAGGTCTGGTTTGATCAAACCTTTTATCTTTCCTAAACACCAGACAGCAACGTTCACAGCACAGCCCCTTCTGCAGTCTCCTGCACATCAGTGTTGAAGGCCCTGGACACCAGGAGCACCGGCACCCAGCCATGAGATGAAGGACAGCAGAGCCAACCACCCACAGGCTGCAGGCACCCCGGCTGCCAGCACTGGCTGACAGGTTGCTGACATTGGCACCAGGGGCTGTAAAGTGAATAACAAGCTGCAGTCCTTCCAGCCAAGTTCCCAAATCATCTGCAAGGAGGAACAGGAGACATCAGGAGGGCAGAGAATTGAACTCCAGCGCTGCCCAGTAGTTCAGGGGCCCTGAGGCCTGTTAGAGATGTGCAGAAGAGCTGACAGAGGCTGCCTGACAGATGATGAACAAGTCCCCAAGCACACAGCTGTGGAGTGCTCGCTTCCCTGGCAGGAGCCTCAGAGACACAGAGGCATTTCTAATGCTCATCTCTCCCTGGGGAGCACAAGACCTCTTGCTGGTGGCCCGGGAAGGACACTGGGGGAGCTGCTGCCACCAAGCACTCACAGAACTCAGCTCACTGCCAGGAAAGGCACGGCAGGGCTACAGCAGTATGTTCTGCTGGATGTGGTAAGCAACAGGACAAGCCAAGTCCTTGACTGGCAAGGACCTGGGCTGTGAAAGACAAGAGGTGACGGAGAAGGGAGGGGAGGCAGGCAGCAGTGCAGCTGGGGGAAGAAACACAGCAAAGAGGAGGGATGGGGCCTGGAAAGATGGCCTCAGGTGCTCGGCTTCCTGCTCAGGCTGGAGGAAAAGCAACGTCAACCCGAAACCAGCCTTGTTGATGCACGGTTGTTTTTCCCACCGGAGGCCAGGCACTGGGCTGGGATGTCTGCACCGCACGAAGAGGCTCCAGAGACAGCTCTCGGTGCCCTTATAAGGGGCTGGGAAGAGGGGAAGCTGCCGAGCAGCCTGTCAGACAGCGATACCGCAGGCAGGAGTTCAGAGCCCTCCTCGGGAAACAGCCAAAAAGAGAAACTCCAGTGCAAGACTTCAGGACCTGGCATTTGAGAGCGTGGGAATGAGAAAGGTCTGAAGGAGTGGGAACAAAAGGGACAAAGCAATTTTTGGCCGGTTAACAGTGATGGAGGGTCCCTGTTCATCCAGCATCATGTCAGGACAGGGAACACTCTGCCAGGGCATTTTAAAATACAGAGGCAGAAGAAAATATTTCCTCCTCCTCCTCTGCAGCCAACCAGCGGCATTCACAGGTCAGTCTCAAACACTGCAAGTTACATTCTCTGACAGCAACTCAAGACAAACACAGGAAAACCACTCAGTGTCACACACTGAGCGTGTGATTCAGAGCCTGCAATCATCCCCTGAGGGAAAATCTCTACCTGGGCGAGGGCAGAGAATCCTGGCTGTGCCTTGGGACACCCAGCTTCTCTGCCCTCTCACTCCCTCACGCATCTCCTCTCTTCTCTCCGTGCCACGATTTTCGTCTCTGAGCTGGGGATCAGACACTGACCCCTTTTACAAAGCACTGAAATCCAGCCAGGTGCTAGGGAGGGGCTGAAACGTAAGGAGCTGGGCCTTCCCAGGGGAGCTCATCCCTGCAGCCAATGTCCACAGAGATTACTAGGTCAGACAACTGGTATTTTGAGCTGGTGAGAGAACGAGTGGATGGATTACCAGCTGAACGTATGGCAGCGTACGGAGCCGAGCCCGCGCCTGGCCCGATGCTGCTCCCTCTCCCTGAGCCACCAGGTTCTGCTTTTGCAGTATCCCAATGCAGATCATCTCATCGGAGACCGTCCCTCCCAGGTGACAGTGGCAGCACCCACCGCTCCAACGCGGTGTTTCTCCTGGAGGTGGGGGATCCTTCCCTGCGGAGAGCAGCCCCACGCAAGCAGTCTGTGTTCCCGTCTGAGGCAGCCGCCTGCAGCGGTTCCGCAGTGCCTCCTGGGGACGGCAGAGCCTGCGCTCTGGGCGCTTTCACACCTGCCACACACCTTCTCACAACATCCCAGCAAAGCTGTCACACTTCACAACACGGTGCTGACCTCCTCTCCTACTGCCTCACCCCCCCAAACAGACAGAAAGAAACTCTCCATGCTTAAGTACTGGCACGTATCCTCTCAACTCCTTCGCTTTTCTGCTTTAATTCAGGTTCAAATATCCCACTGAGCTCTGGGAGGGGATGTATCTAATACATTCAAACACAACCTGTGTCTTCTCTACCAGCACCTAGAACTTGCTCCTGAAACATCCAGCAACAGCAAAGCAGTTAAGTGGTGGGGAGGACACTTTCCCAATTCCTGTTAACACCTTCCAGCCCTTTGGCTCTAACAGTCACAGTTCACGTTCTACGTCTGCACCTGGGGTACGGGAGAGCAGAGCAACACTGGGTGCTGAGGAAGAATGGCTCTTTGGAGGCAAACCCTACCAGGAGTTCAGAGCTTCTGCTACCAACAGATGGAGGAGGCACCTAGAGACGTCAGGCAGACTTGCAGGCAACAGCCCCGTAACACTCCCCCACTCTTACGCAGAGGTAATACCAAAAGTATGATTAAAACTATAGTCAACTATCAGCTGGTAATTCTCCAAATTGCTTGGCATTTCTGGAGACAAACAAGTGGCTATAACCGCGCCTGCCTTTGAGCTGCTCAAGAGAGCTCAGAACAGACTGTCACAACACTGAATCACAAAGAAATCCTGGCACCTCTCAACAAAGGACTGGCTGAAGGGGAGGGGGAACAAAAGCTATCAAACCCAATCCCAGAGGGATGGAGGAAGTGCATCTTCCCACAGTTCCTGGGCCATATGCACATATATGGATATATATATAGATAATAAAGTTATAAAATTTGATCAAAATAAAACCAGTAAATGTACAGCTTGAAAAAGAGCAATATCACAGTGCGTCAATGTCATGAGCAAGTCCCGTGTTCTCCCCCTGCACAAGAGCACAGCCTGCCACGGTCAAAAGAGTGCCCGCTGGAAGCGAGCCCCCTGGCCTGCCGGGCCACCGCGGGCGAGAGTCACCAGCCCGCTTCCCCAAACAGGATTTTTGTATTCCTGCAGTCAGTTCTGCTTAGCAGTGGTAGACAGGCAGAAACAAGTGCTAGAGCAGGCTGCTCCGTCTGCAGGTGAGCTGACATATCGTCACCAGGTACCAGAGATCCAGAGTTACTCAAACTTCTCCACGCTCTGGTGCCAGGCTCGTATTAACTTCCTTACAAAAAAAAAAAAAGTGACAAAGTGAAGAAAGTCAGGGGACACTCTGAGAGTGGGACAAGGGCTGAATTCGGATGACAGGGGACAAGTTGACCCTAAGAATCTTCTGTGCTCTCCTCCTCACTTCATCATCAGAGGAAGAGTTGCCCACCTTGATGGTCCGGAATTTCAGCAGGTTCAAAGTGCTCTGAGGCTGTCGAGATTTATTTCGGACAGGAATGAGACTTGCTTTCTTCCTCTTCGGTGCTTCTCTTGCCTCTGTTGCTCTTCTTTTCTTCTGCCCGACGCTCTCCCGGTAAGTGCTGCTGTCCTTCCACTCTGTTTTCCCCACCAGAGCTTCCTTACCTTTGATTTTCAAGGTCCTGGACTGCGGTGCTGCGGTGCAGCCTTGGGACGAGCTGCCTGTGACTCTCCCGTTCAGAACTCCCGAGGCTTTGCAAGCATTGCTCTCCTGCAGCACCCCACCCTTTGGTCCCTTCAGAAGATTTAAAGCGAGGGTGGCAGAATCGGGTGCTTTCTTTATCAAACGCTTGTACCCCTTACCTTCTGTTAATTTAGTGGTCTTGCCTGAAGGAAACTGCCTCGGCGGATTTGAAGCCTTGAGGAGTTTAAGGTCAGAGTGCGAGATCCCCAGACGCCCTTGTGTGTACTTGGACTCCAAACAGGACGCGGTCGTTTTCAGCGGCACCAGAGCTTCCAGAACCACTGACAGTCTCATGGCTGGATACACGTCGGGATACATGCCTGTAGGGAAGCCCACTGCCGCGGCTTTGGACGCGCCAGATCTTGTCTGCTTCAAGGAGCTCAAGAGGAGATTTGTGGAATCCCCTTTGGAGACGGGCTGAGTGGAGACTTTTGAAGAGTTCACTGAAATGCCGGTGGGCGAAGCAGACACCTTTGCCACAGCTGCGGTGCTTCTAGCCAGATTCTTTGTGGACTCGGCGGCGCTGGCACAGCTGTGTGGAGTGCTCTCTTTCGTCTGACACGGTGTGTCTGCCGTGCACGAGCTGTACCCGTACACATCCTTACTCCTCAGAATTGTGGGCCGGTAGCCCTCCTCCTTCAGGCTCTGAATGAAGGCCACCAGCTGGGTCTCTGTGTCCGAAAGATCCTTGGACATCGGGTTGAAGACTCGGAGGGCTTCCTCCAGCACTTTCTGTCCTGCAGAGGAAATTCTCGACCAGGAATGGACAGCTTTTTCTTCCACATTGTTCACTGCAATATTCATGGCATTAGGAAAGCGGGCACTTCAAAAAGGTCCAAATTACTGGAAAAACAACCCTTGACACCTCGAAAGACAGAGAAGATAGTTAGCTTACAGCAACTGAAATCATCGTGCATTTTTAAGCGGGGACCTGAAACCATTAAGCGCAGGCGTGGCTACTCAGAAACACTGGGTCAGATTCTGGGCATAACCCAAGTTAAAGCATTGTCAAGAATATCCCGTCACTGATTTATCTCTGAAGTAAAACTACAACATCTCTTGCAGAAACATCCTCAAACCTAAACAAAGATTTCAGGCAAACCCAACCAATCCAGCCCAAGGCAAAGGGTTCCAATTTCTCAGTGAAATCTGCAGCTCGTTTCCAGTTTGAGTGTGACACGCCTCAGCTTTGGGTAACCAGATCTCATTTTCACTTGGTGAAGAAGCCCTTCATTGAATCCTCTCCCTGTGCACGATCGAGCCATCTCAACACTAAGCAGCCTGAGCACCTCAAATCTATCCCAGCATCATGTTCAATTTTCCAGCTTCCTAATTGATTCTGCTCAAAAATTGATTCTGAGCCCCTGCCAAAGCTGCAGCACCCTCCCGAAGACCTGAGAAGCGGAGCTGGAGGCTGTATCGGTTGTGCTTCATTGACGCTGAACGCTGTGACAAGGCAACACCGCTCCTTGCCGTTCCCTTGTTTGAACAACGGTCTGCAACTTGCTGTCACAGCAAACTGGTGTTGATCCAAGGGCACTCGCTGCCAAGTGAGGAGGAAGCAGGAAATTCAAGCAGGGCGGCATGAAGGAAACACACATCACCAGGGCCAAGCGTACAATGGCCTGAGGGACAACACTCTGATCATGCTCAGGGCACTACACAGCTGTCTGCCCGGGACAAAAGCACTATTTATTGCTTTTAATGAAAAAAAAAATAGGCACTGAAGAGCAGTCCAGACAGGACTTTGTGATGCAGCTGGGAGATCCTCCCACGCCGAGTTATAAAATCTTTAGCTTCATTGATACCTCTCAAAATAATGAGGATTCAGTGAAAAGTCCTTTTTAGGGAAATGCAGAAGGTGTTGGAGACACTATTGGAGAGGGCAGCGCACAGGCAAGAAAGCTGTGATGGAAAAGTTAGCCCCTGAGCAGACACAGCAAGGAACTATTCATGTCTGGAGCTCCTCCCTGAACTCCAGTTTCACTCCAACCCTGGAGCCCGGGAGTGCCAGCCCCAGACCCGCACCCCGTGCCGCCACCGGCTGCACAAGTCAGGCAGAGACACAAGCCAAAAGCTGCTGCAGAAGGGGAAGCACAGGTCAGCTTTGGGGGGGGGGGGG